TAGTATTATTTAGTACAGGGGTAAGTGCAGGCCTTTTTCTATAAAGACCCTGATAGTAAATATTTTAGACTTTGAAGGACAGTTGGTGTTGGTTGCAACTATTTAACTCTGCCATTATCACATGAAAGTAATCATAGACAATAAATGAAAATGTATGGTTGTGTCCCAATAAACTTTTCTAATGGACAATGAAATTTAAATTTCTTATACTTTTCATGTGTCACAAAGCTGTAGTCTCCTTTTACTTTTTTCCCCTTGTATTTAAAAACATAAAAGCCATTCTCAGCTCAGAAGCCTGTACCAAAATAGGCAGTGGATCAGATTTGCTCTACTGGTTATAGTTTGTTGGTGCTGGATTCAGATGGAAGGTACAAGAAACATACAACTTACATGCCTAAATCTTACTGTTGTTGTTAAGTGCTGTTGAGTTGGTTCCAGCTTATAGCAACCCTGTATAGGGTTCACAAAGAGTGGCTGATGGGTTTGAGCTACCAACCTTGTGGTTACCAGTCCAGTGCTTATCCCATAGTACCACACAAGAACTCCAAAACATTACTGATGGTGGTGGCAGTGGTTGTGTGCCATGGAGTCTGTTATGACTCATAGCAAGCCAGTATAGGGTTTCTGAGGCTGTAAATCTTTACAGGAGCACGAAGCCTCATCTTTCTCTCTCAGGGTGACTGGTAGATTCAAATTGCTGACCCTGTAATCCACTAAACTACCAGGGCTAGCAGAAATAAATTCCCTGAGGCCAGAAGAGGTAATGCAAACAGTTAATGTTCTGAATGGCTAACTGAAAGGTTGGAAGTTCAAGTTCAGAGGTGCCTTGAAAGAAGGTCTGGAGCTCTGCTTCTAAAAAATTAGCTATTGAAAACCCTATAGGGCACAGTTCTACTCTGACAGGCATGTGGTCATCATGAGCCAGAACTGACCCAACAGGAATTGGTTTCATGTGAAAGAGAATGGTTTCACTAGAAAAAGGGCTAAGGCTAGGTAATAGGGCCATCATTTTTGCAGGCTGAAGTCACTGAGATTTCAGGCTTTAATCCATCTGCATACTTACATTTCTTTAGCAAGAACAACAGTAGCCATTTTTATAAAGTATGTATTATGTGCCAGGCATTGATTTAAGCATTTCATAGATATCAATTAATTTGCTCATCACACAGCTCTAAGGCAGGCACTCTTACTATCATCATGATCATGTTATAAAGACCCTGCGGGCTTAAGTAATTTGCCCAAAGTTACAAAATGGCAAATTGGGGTGGAACCCAAGCAATGCAGCTCAATTCTGAGTCCTTCACCACAACAGTATACCTCTTCCAATGGATATATGAATATTATATCTACCTTTATCCAGTGTGAACATAACTGCAGAAAGAAATCACTTAACACTTTATACTGGATAGATTTTTCTCACGCAATCATTTAAGATTCAGTATCCTCATTATTCATTCACAGTTGAAATGTTCATTCCTAACTGAAATCCAATAATGAACATCCCAAATCTGTTCTCAATTAGTGTAATTAAATGTGTGTCCAATCAAGGATGTCATTGTGTATTAAGACATTATCTAACGCCCTATCAAATACAGACAAATCTGGATGAGACTGATTCCCTGACCCAACACAACCCCCAATGTTTGATGTTAGCTTCCTCTACTGATTTTTCATTAATCTCCTCTATTTTTTCTCTTTCACTGACACAAACATCAGATGCTTTCCATTTCTTATAAAATTATCTCTCTGTGTACCACTGGGGTACATTTGCTTTCTATGTAATATATTTTTAGAATGTGAAATCCCTTAGCTGTCAAGCTGGTTAGCTCAAATATGAAAACTTTCTAGTTCTGGTAAAAATCAGGTTCAAAACACCTTTGGCCAATAAAGCTAAAAGAGGCTTCCAAATTTGTACCCATTTCTCTCTCTGACCTATTTTGAGGATTATGAGAGAGACTTATATGGCTAACAGTTCTGGAATACTGTGAATGTATCCTCATTAACTGGATGGAAACTGCAGCCTCTGCAGTTGACTGTCGCCCCTTTGACCACTAGCTTCTTTTTTTTCTTGCTAAAAGAAACTCCATTTTGTTGAGGTATGTGCTAAGAGCCATGCGCTTTACTTGAGTCTGGGAACTAGAGAAGGCAGGCCTTGACTGACCTCAATACAGCCTCCCTCAAAGTTTGATCTGGGGTTCCTGCAATCCCGAGATCTTCCCTTTGCCAACTACTCATCTATGAGGGGCTAGATCTTACGCATGTCCTATACTTCAGCCAAAGCAACACATCACAACACACTGAATGCTCAGTAGATATGAGAAGCCAGCTGTGTTATACTAAGCCAACAATAAAGAGACTTGCAAAACAGTAAAACAATACTATTCTGTGTTGTTTCACTTTGAAAAAGTTATTCTTCATAAAAGTACGCTAACATGTAAGTTTATTGTAACTATTTTAAATGAGTTAATTTTTCAAATGATCAGATTTGATTTCTAATATGAGGCACATGGATAGCTATAACCCACATAAACAAACAAACTCTTTGGAATCTTCCGTTTTTAGGAGCCAAAAGGGCTCCTGAAATCAAAATCAACCATGTTCACTCATTTCTCTTGGTTTAGAAATGGGTCTAACAGTAGCAATTCTGGCCAAAGATGAAGAACGGTGCTTTTTTGGGGACCCTTGGGAGGTCTGTTCTTTGGCCTTTAAAAGAAACAAAAATATATTTGTGATAAGAAACTTTGCTTTTTGCTGGGCACAACTATATTTGGAGCTGCTGCCTGAACCTGGTGCAGTTCTCTTTAACTACAGCGGCAACTAACTAAAGGACCAAGCCAAGATGCTACAAACTGTAAAAAATTGGTCTCTAATTATATCATCGAGTCACTGAATTAAACAATCCTGGACTTTCCCTATCTCAAATCCCTTGTTTGTGAAAAATGTTATATTCTTTATTATTTGTTGTTGTTGTTAAGTGACGTCAATTGGTTCTGACTCATAGGACCTTGTATAGGATTTCCAAGGAGTAGCTGATGACTTTAAACCACCAACCTTGTGATTAGCAGTCCAGTGTTTACCCTACAGCAACACATCAGAACTCCATTCTTTATTATTTCATTCAGCTTTTTTTTTTTCTTTTCTATGTAAAGTGAAACAGTTAAGACCCAAACTAACCTAGAAAAGCATTGAAATTAGCTCCAATGTTTGTGTTTTGTTCATTTGTGAATCCCAGTTGCCCCTATCTATACACTGTGAATATTGATGACAACTTCATGGCTCGTCAGTTCAGAATGATTCTTTCATGGGTTAGATGTTTTTACTTTGCTTCAACAATATCCAGGGTGCGAGATAATAAAAAACCCACTGCAGTTAAGTCAATTCCAACTCAGAGCAACCCTACAGGACAGAGCAGAACTTCCCCATAGGGTTTCCAAGGCTTCAGATCTTCAAAGAAGCTGACTGCCAGATCTTTCTCCCAGGGAGCAGCTGATACGTTCAGTTAGGAGTAGAACACTGTAATCACTGTCCCAACGAGGTGCCTCAGGATTACAGACAGAGCACAGGATTACAGAATTTATCACCCCTCCTGGAACAACACTAGAGCCCATACTCCAATAAGAAGAGCAAAGCTGGAGTACTGCTCCCTACACTGACAGGGCACACATGTATTTGAAGGCCATTCAAACTGTGAAGGCAGAAAACAAAGCAGCCACCTAGTGTTAATGTTGTTGTTGTTATGTGCCGTGGAGTTGGTTCCGACTCATAGCGACCCTGTACAGGGTTTCTGAGGCTGTAAATCTTTACGGGAGCAGAAAGCCTCATCTTTGTCCTGCGGAAGAGCAAGTAGTTTCAAACTGCTGACCATGCGGTTTGAAGCCCGATTCATAGCCACTATGCTACCAGAGCTCCTCAACTAGTGTTAATACAGATCAGGAAATTGCGACCAGAAAGGCCAGGCCCTGTGCACAGCTCACCCCGCCCCCTATCAGCAGGAAAGGTACCTTCAGACCAACCACATTTATCATTTATCTTGTCAGCAGTATAGGACCACAACAATGGTTTAATCAATAGTGAGACAGACTCTAGTCATTTAGAGAAAGTAAATGTTAATAAATAAAAAAATAACTTCCCCTTGATTAGCAATCAGTTTCGTTTCCAAACTGATTTAAAAAGAGAGAGAAAAAGCAGGAAAGAACACAGTGCCTGGTGCATAATTAGAACTCAAAAACATCTGTTGAACTAACTTTACCTTTTTACAAAGTAGGATTTAATTCAAATCAGTGCTCCCCTGGATTTAGTTAATGAATACTCCTACAATCTAAAAAGACAATAGTGAATGTGTTCCTCATCTCTCTTAGGAAGCTTTAGGCTACAGATTGTGACACTAACTTCAGTCTCTTCATAAAAAGTCTGCTCCTAAGTTCAGAGGAACTTGTTTCTATACATTCAGTAGCCACAATCATGTATTTGAGGGACGAGAAGGCTGATAGGGATGTAAAGGAAGAGACAGAATGGAAACGGGCCTCAAATTCATGGTAAAAATGCAAAAGCAAAATCCATTGTCACTGAGCTGATTTCAACTCCTAGCAACCCTACAGGACAGAACAGAAATGCATATTCAGGTTTTCAAGGAAGCCGACAGCCACAACTTTTTTCCTGCCAGAGCAGCTGATAAATTGACCTTCCAGTTAGCAGCCCGACACTTAACTACACCAGCAGTGCTCTAAAAATAAATAAAGGATCATCTAATTCTCCTAACTTCAAACACACAGAGTTCAAGTTCTAGAGTGGATATTGGTCATGGGTCCTCTGCCTTTTGGCAAGGGAGTCTTCGTCACTGATGCCAGCCATCAGGTACTTGAGGCCTGTGATCCAGGTGCGGGCCTCCTCGGGGTTGGAGGTGATGAGGTCCAGGGACTCCATGTGGTTGCCATGGTAGATGGTGAAGCAGCAGCTGGGGTCAAAATTTCCCTCGGCTTGTCTGTGGAATATTTCAGACTGCCGGCCCTCGGTGACTTTGTAAATAGAGTCTATGATTACTGTGAAGGAAGCAAGATACACACATTTTATGGCAGGCAAAGATATCTATACAGATTAGGAAAACAGAAAAATAAAGCTATTTCAAGTAAGAAAAATAAGCATGAACAAATTCATTGTCTGCAAGTTGTGGTTTTAAGTTCAAATGCAAACCACTAGCCCTACCATTTCCTACTCAGAATTAATTTCACATAGAACTTTACCTTCCTGCGCAGTGTTGACCATGCCTACCCAAGTCTTGATTTAGGATGTGCTGCAATTTATGTCACTAAGGAAAATGTGCCCATCAGGCCAAGAAGACTGGTAGAAAAGGTAGATGGTGAATATATCGAGTTTTCTAGTTTACTTATTTATGGAGGGAACACATTCAAAGATTTAGAGCAGATTTTGGTTTGGTATTTCAGAGGATGTCTTACTAGGCATGGTTACCGATGATGACAGCAGAATGTTGTAATATAAGGTTAAAAAGGGCTGACACTTAAAAGGGAACTCAAGCAATGGTTTTGGAAACAGAGAGGAGTGGACAAAGGTGGGAGTTAACAGAGGGATCAAGAAAATTTTTGAATCTCTCAGAGGTTGTAATTCATATAGAATTAATTCATTTATTACTGAGATTCCTAAGATCAATGTTCCATGAACACCACTTCATAACACCACTCGTTCTACACGGTGTCACACCTAATCTCAAGACACCTTTTGTAATCGTGGATTGTAAACCTTACACATTCATGAAATTTCCTTATAGGGAAAGGGAAATGCTGTAAGGCCATACCCCCCAAAAAAAAACAAAACAAAAACTTTTTTTCAAGAAAATGAAAACTCTCTGAAAACCTAGAGTCAAATTCTGATTTTGTCATTATTCACTATATGATGTGGTTCTAGTTGCCACTGAGCCTCAGAGTCAAGCTAGGCCAATCAGATTCTTTTTTTCTGGCCTGAGTTAGAGAATAAAGAAATAGTAATTCAATGCAACAGTAGCTGAAAGAAGCAAAGAGTAGAGAAATCATAATTAAACCAAATTATTAGCACACAGAAACTAAGTACATGCACAAACTATGAGATGTTAAGAATACGCAGTACCAATACCCAAAATATAGTGCAAATATTATTAACTGGTATTTTGAAAGTATCACGGAAACATGGCAAGGACTGTAAAAATTCAATCTCCCAAATTTATTCCATTTTCTCAACTTCTACGAGACAGCGCTATTAATAGCCCATTTTATAGCTGAGACTGAAATGCAGAAAAATTACATAACTAGTCAGAACACATAGCTAGGGAGCAGCAAACCTAGGATTTGAATCAAAGCTCTCTTCTGATTCCTGAGGTCAGGTAAAAACTAGTATGTATAAGTCTCTAAAGTGGACTCTCTTTGTTCAAATCCACTCTCCACCTCTTAACTAGTTGTACGATCTGGGCAAACTGTCAACTACATTAATTCTCAATTTCTTCATACCATATAAGGGTGTCTTCTTTATTGAGGAGGTTGTTAGACTGTAATTAACTGATCCATGTAAGTAACCATAAGTCATTTAGCAGAATGGCACATCAGGTCCATTGCCATTGAGTCAATTCCTACTCATAAAGACCCTCTACAGGGAAGAATAGAACCATTCAAAGGGTTTCCTCAGCTATAATCTTTATAGGAACTGATCACCAATGCTTTCTCCCACATAGCTGCTGATGGACTCATAAAGCTGAGCACTTAACAATCATGGCTCCTGCAGCAGAATATCATATTAATGCCTAATAAATTATCGTTGGAAATACAAAAGTGATTAGGCACAGAACCTAGCACACAGTAAGCTTTCAGAAACAGAAGCTATTATTATCTGGGAACCACTTATTCCCTTACAGCTTTTCCTCTGCCCTTTATAAAACATTGCTGTTAACTACCATTGAGTGGAGCCAACTCACGGTGACCCCATGTGTGTAGAATAGGGCTGCTCCATAGAAAGCAGACCACAGGCCTGTCTTCTGACACGACTCTGGGAAATTTTGAACTACCTATATTTGGGCTAGTAGTCAAGTGCTTAACTCTTAGCTTATTAACTAAGCAGTGACAAACTAATGAAGGCACCAGGAAATGCAGACTGCAAAGCACCAGAGTTGTTACAATAGCCTTGAAATACATTCCTTCAAAATGCCAACCCATATAACTTCACACCTTCCCCAGAAGTAACTTGGTGCTATAATAAATGAAATCGACCTTATAAAACTTATCAAATAACCTCGGAAACCCTATGCAGGGTCACTATGAGTTGGAACTGACTCCACGGCACATAACAACAACAACAATGGATGTAGTAGCTCCAAAGAGGGAACAAATCTTTACAGCGAGGATCATTCCCACTCCCTCAATACACAGGGTAGACAAGGATGGGCAACTTGGACATTGGCTACCCAAAATGCGGGTGGAGGGGGGAGGCTACAAAGGCAAGAAGTGACTGGCTTACAAGCTTTCAAGAGAGAGCCTAGATCCAGAAGGGGAAAAAAACTTATCAAATATTTGTTGTTGTTGTTGTTGTTGCTAGGTGCCACTGAGTCAGTTCTGACTAACAGTGACCTTATGCACAAGTGGATGAAACATCCCCCGTTCCTGAGCCAACCTGACAATGAAATACTTACTGAGAGTCTACTATATACAGTAAAGCCTGGGGTTAGGGGATGTCTGTAATTTCCCTTTCTTGCCTTATAGCTCTGGTGAAGACCTCCAGCACAATATTGAATACATGTGTCAAGTTAAACAAAGAATTTAAATGTTGGTTTTACTTTTTGCCTTCTCACTCTTCCTAGAGGGCCGCCACCGGAGACGGGTACGGTGCTCATCCAGGTAAAACAGCCGAACGAGTCCTTTGGTCCCACGCTTCAGTTTGATCATCTGTGTCCCGGACTGCATTACACTCATGCATCTTTCAACTGTAAAAGAGATTCAAACACATTCAACGCTTAAACAATGTATATGTTTATCAGTGCTCAGAACCTCATCGTCACATAAAACCTCTGTTCAGTTACCTCCCCTTTCTCTACCAGACCCCAAGGACCAGGAGACAGATTTGGTAGAGGTTATCTTGAAAGAGAGTTGTAAAGGAACTCAACAATCACACGTATGTCATTAAAAACTTGATCAATTGAAACACAATTCCATTTCTAGATAAATACCACATTACTGCTGCACAAGTGTTTTAATTGGCGCCATATTGTTTTCTAATGATATTGATGATCGTTCGATACTTCTATTCGTGTTCATATGGCAAGTTCTCAGCCACTATGTTAAATCTTCTGAGATTTGTTTATAGCCAGTTGTATAAACATCTAATACTCTCAAATAAAAATAGAAACAAGATCAGTAAAATGTTGACCATTCCTGAAGTCAGAAAATAGCTAGATGTAGGTTCACATTATTAGACTTTTGTGTATGTTTTCAAGTCATTAAATAAATATATATTTTATATATAATTTTCTTTTTTAATGTAATCTGAAATTTCTAAGTTTTCAACACTAAGTATAAAGCATTTACTGATGAAATATATACTACTGGGATTTTCCATCTAGAGGAATAACTTGGCAATTAAACTCAGGTAATATTCAAATCCTTGATTGTCCAAGTTAACATCATCATTAAAATTTGCTATGCTTTAAAGATGAGCCTTGTTGGAAGCGGACATCTGTTGGTTTTGCCTGTTTTTACTTATTTTGGCCATAACACCTCACCTTCCCTTTAGATTTCCTTTAGAACGGTCCCTCTCTCAATTCATATGTCCTTGGTGAACGATCAATTATGCTAAGGAATGGATAGCTGACTTAAATTGAGAGCAAATCTGACTCCCAAATCATAAACCAAGTAGTGACTGGAAAGTAAAAAAAGAGAAAACCATATCTGTTGTCTTCAAGTTGATTCTGACAGATAGTGACCCTTTCAGGGTTTCCCAGGCTGTATTCTTTATGGAAGCAGTCTACCACATCTTTCTTCCATAGAGAGGCCAGGCCAGTGGGTTAGAACCACCAACCTTTCAGTTAGTAGCCAGACGTTGATCCACCACTTAGCCAAGCCTGCTCCTCCCCAAATAGAAACAGCTGAGCCATGTCGAGATTAAGCCTTAAGAGACTTCTGATTGTCTGTCTCAAGAGGCCACAGTTTTTCTTCTTCCTGAGGCTGACAAATGACTCGGTTCTACTCTTGATTCTGCTAGTTATGTGATACTCTCCCAAATATTCTTTTTTTGTTTCAGAAAGACCTGATAAGAACAATTTCAAGATTTGATACTGCAGGCAAGGTGAAGCACGAATTGCCGTTTTTCATTTTATTTGATTAATCAAATACCCAAATAATTGTTAATTGCTTAAGAAAATAAATGCATGTGTTTAAAATGTTGACTTTGAAGCACAGAACAAATTTTGAAATTTTGTTTCAGACAGATTAACAAATCTATCCATTAATGAGTTTCATGTGTATAGGCAATAAAGTCATGACTGAATTCCTGACAGTCTCATTAGCCACTGCACACAAGTAATTAGAGAGAGAACACACAAGAGCAGTCAACATAACAAGGCAAAACCATTACTACCAATAAATGTACCCCCCCCAAAAAATACAAATTGAAAAATCGAGTCAAATGGAGTCTTGAAAGTCTCTAACCCAAAACGTCGCCAAACCTAAGGGGAGACAATGCATTGTGGTTGTAAAGCTAACCAGGGAGGGAGCACTCCCAATCATTCTTTGTCATTCATCCAGCAATGTTGGATGAGACAGAATATCCTTCAAATCTCATCTAAATCACTTAAATGCCAGCTTAAGTCAATTTTTTCATATTCTGTCTTCAGAAGAGATAGAAAACAGCAGTTTTCACCTCTATAAAAGTAACTCTCCATCCATGCCAAATTTGTAGATTCTATACCAGAGGATCAGTAAACAAGTAAACAAAAGGCAGAGTTGAAATGCTTTACAATGAATGTACCCACATTACACACATCTCCAGTGCTGGAAGTCCTCTAGCAAAGGTCTGCAAAGGTCCTTTACAAAGTTAGGCACCTGTCAACCTGTGTGCAATCCCTTTGATTTTCTATTCTTCATTCTGATCACACAAATAACTTTATATGGACATAATGCAGTAACATTCGTGAATATTAAGTCAGAAATGTTCATTATATAATGTGTATATTGTTTTTGCCTGTTATGATCCAGACTGCCACATGTGCACACATCTGTTGCACTGGTTTCAATAATAGCATTTAAGCCATTTGGCATTCTGCTTTTTGTATTATTATTAAAAAACAGTCTTCTATGTTTCTACACAGTTTTAATAATTATCTTTTAATGGCTGTCTAACAGAATAGCATAAATATTTAAAGAACAGAGCAGATGAGTGGAGGAATATATTCCAACACTTAAGAGTTTTAAACTGACTTAACAAAGTTTAATTTGTAAAGTGAAAGGAATAGCTATTGTTAACTATTATTTTGCCACAATCTGTTAAAAATAAGTAAATTTCTTTAGGAATTATGAGTTTCCTTAAATTCATCCAGCAGAAAATGGTATGTACAAATATACATACACCTCTGGTTTCAAGAAACATAATATGAAGTACACATTTTTTGAGGGAGATTCTCAAAATTTCCACTAAATATTTATATATGAGGAGGCTGCAAGAAGTTTCTGAAATACGTGATTACAAGATAAAGGAATTTTTCCATGGGCTTTTTGAAGCATCACTCTGCATATTTGACATCTAAGCAAGGTTCCAACCACTCATCTGTCACATTTTCATACTATGGTTTCTTGTGTGTTGCTGTGATGCTGGAAGCTATGCAACTGATGTTTTAAATTACTCATGATGGATAGGTTCCAATAGAGTTTTCAGACTAAGACAGACTAGGAGAAGGAGAGGCAGATGACTTTTGAATGGCTAACAGTGAAAACCAGATGAATAGCAGTAAAACACTACCAGATAATACCAGAATATTGAATATTGAAAATTATGAATAACATGAGAATAATGTCAGATATAGCTCCATAAGATGAGTTTCTCAGCTTGAAAAACACTCAAAATACGACTGGGAAAGAGCTGTCTCCAAAAAGTGTAGAGTTGGCCTTGATGATGCAATTGAATTAAAAGTTTTGGGACCTCCAGTTGCTGATGGCACACAACACAAAATGAGGAGAAACAGCTGTAAACATCCATTAATAATCAAAACAAAGATTTTTATCAAGTATGAATCTACAAAAATTGGAAGTTGTCAATAAATAAACAAAATGGAATAATTAGGATCAATATGCTACGCATTCGTGGGCTGGAATGCCTTTGTATTGTAACACTATGAATCTGACAATCCCGTGGTTTACTATGCAGGGGATGACAAATTGAGGTCAAGATCTGTCTTGAAGTATAATGATGTCAGTGATAGAATAATACCTACACACCTACAAGGAAATCAGTATATACCACTATTATTCAAATTCACACATCAACCACTAAAGGCAGTGATGATGAAATTCAAGAATTATACCAATGAATTCAGTATGAAATTGATCTGCAGTCAAGATGTGTTAATAATTACTGATGATTAGAATATAAAACTTGGAAACAAAGAGGAATGATCAGTAATTGAAAATACAGCCTTGATGACAGAAATGATGCTAGAGACAACATAATTGAATTCTGCAAGAAAAATGATTTATTCACTACAAACACCTATTCTAAACAACATAAAACTTGATTCTTCACATGGACCGAACAAAATTGAATACATAGAAATCAAATTGACTACATCTGTGGGAAGAGACTGTGGGAAAATAAAAACAAGGCTGGAGCAGACTGTAGAACAGACCAACAATTGCTCATATACAAGCTCCATAAACACTCATGGAAGCAACAGTTAAGAAATAAAATGACATATTGCATTAAGGAAATCTGTTGCACAAGACCTCTTTAAAGTGTACAAAAGCAAAGATGTCAGTTTGAGGACTAAGTTACGCTTGACACAAGCCAGGGAATTTTTCAATAGCCTCATATGCATATGAAACATGGACAATGAGTAAGGAAGACCACAGAAGACCTGAAGCATTTGAGTTATGATGTTGAAGAAGAATGTTAAAATAAGAATATTAAAAGTGCTGGACTGCCATAAGAACAAATAAATCTGTGGTAGCGTAGTGGTTACGAATCGAGCTGCGAACCGCAAAGTCAGCAGTTCGAAACTATCAGCTGCTCCGCGGAAGAAAGATAAGGCGTTCTGCTCCTGTAAAGATTAATAGCCTCGGAAAACCTGTGCAGGGTCGCTATGAGTCAGAATCGACTCCACGGCACTTAACAACAACAACAACAGAAGCAGTATAACCAGACTGCTACTTAGAAGTCCGGCTGGCCAGACTTTGTTTCTCATATCTCAGAGATATTATCAGGAAGGACCAGTCCCTAGAAAAAGACTTGATAAAGTGGAGAGTCAGCAAAAAAGAGAGACAATCCAGAAAATATTGATTTCCACAGTGGCAGCAGCAATGGTCTCAAGTATACCAACAATTGTGAGATTGAAGCAGGTTTTGATTCAGTTGTGCATTAAGTTAAGTCAGAACCAACACAATGGCACATAAGAACAACAACACATTCAGTGGAACGTACCATCAATTGCTCATATGCGAGTTCATGTTGAATCTGAAGAAAACTGAAACAAGTCGACAAGAACCAAAACATGACCTCCAACAGATTTGATACATTAGACATTAATGACTGAAGAACAGAACAGTTGTGAGATGACATCAAGAACATCACACAGGAAAAAAGAAAAAGGTCATTAAGAAGAAAAAAAAAGAAGAAGAAGACCAAAATGGATGTCAAAAGAGAATCTGAAACTTGCTTTCCAGTATATAGATGCTAAAAGATTAGGGGGAAATGAGGTAAAAGAGCTAAATAGGAAGTTTC